TATAAATATGACCTAGGTAGGTTAAATATTGCTTTTTATTTGACGATGTTTCCCATGCAATCTAATATATCAAATAACCCTAAGTAAATTAACATTTCTCTTTTAGCTTCATTCAGAATTTGATTTGGGAAGTCTGTTTAAAATGTCAAAACACTGAAAATATGTGATCAAATAGAATCACAGGTCACTGTGAAACAATACTCAGTTATCCATTCAACCAAAGTGACAAAAGATTTCAAAGGCAAATACAGAAGGTTATATAGTTGTAAAAAACCAAACAAACAAAAATTAGCTCTTTTAATTTGATGAGTCAGGGTTTTTTTCCTACATAGTCAAAGACCTGATAATGACAACATGAAGCACAGTAAATTATTTTCATAAGACGTACATCTTTTTTAAATTTTTGACTGCATTGCGTCTTCATTGCTGCTTACAGCTTTCTCTAGTTGCAGTGAGCGGGGGCTGCTCTTCATTGTGGTGCATGGGCTTCTCATTGCAGTGGCTTCTCTTGTTGCAGAGCACAGGCTCTAGGCCTGCGGGCTTCAGTAGTTGTGGCACACGGGCTCAGTAGTTGTGGCTCGCGGGCTCTAGAGCACAGGCTCAGTAGTTGTGGTGCACGGGCTTAGTTGCTCCGCCGCACATGGTATCTTCCAAGACCAGGGCTCAAACCCATGTCCCCTGCATTGGCAGGTGGATTCTTAACAACTGCACCACCAGGAAACCCCAGGACATACATTTTTGTTTCCTAGGCAGATTACATTAAAGGTAAAGAAAAACTTTTGTTCACCATTCCTTTTTTTTAAAGATTTTATTTATTATTTATTTATTTAGTTTTGTCTGTGACGGGTCTTAGTTGTGGCACGCAGGATCTTCATTGTGGCACGTGGGCTTCTCTCTAGTTGTGGCATGTGGGTTTTTTCTCTCTAGTTGTGGCACGCAGGCTCCAGAGCCTATGAAATTGTGAAGAAGGAAAAGAAATTCATTTGAGTTTTGCTGATGTGGTTCAGACTGCAAAGGTTACAGCCACAGTGCATAAGTGCTTAGTTAAGATGGAAAAGGCATTAAATTTGTACAGTAAGGTATTTTGAGACCACATTCATATAACTTTTATTATGGTAAATCATTATAATTGATTTTATTGTTAGTTGTTAATTTCTTACCATGCCTAATTTATAAATTAAACTTTATCATGTGGTTTCAGGCATTACAGAGGGTATTGGAATGTATTCTCCATGGATAAGGGGGAGCTACTGTATATCCATTTCTTTTTTTTTTAAGTAGCTTTTCTTTTATTTATTTACTTATTTTTTAAAAGGTTTTTTTGTTTGTTTTTGTTTGGCTGTGTTGGGTCTTTGTTGCAGCACACTGGCTTTCTCTAGTTGCGGTGAGCAGGGGCTACTGTTGGCTGCGGTGCATGGGCTTCTCATTGCGGTGGCTTCTCTTGTTGCGGAGCACAGGCTCTAGGCATGCGGGCTTCAGTAGCTGTGGCATGCGGGCTCAGTAGTTGTGGCTCATGGGCTCTAGAGCACAGGCTCAGTAGCTGTGGCTTACGGGCTGGGATCTTCCTGGACCAGGGCTTGAACCCATGTCCCCTACATTGGCAGGAGGATTCTTAACCACTGCACCACCGGGGAAGTCCCTGTATGTCCATTTCTAATATGTTCCATATTACTCACTATTGTATGATTGATGCTCAGAAAGAAACACTATCTTTATCTTGGGTCTTTGCAAAGCCCCTGGCATTATGATATGTATCTGTTTGAAAACCTTGGAATTGTAAGGGAGTTATGGAAAAGAAGACTACACAGCGTGGTTGGGCTATTACTGTTGTGAGAACACGTCCACAATCCCACGTCCTTGATCCCTAAATTCTAGAAGCTCTGAAACCCAACAGATTTTCATAACTCATTTAACAGCCAAATTTGACATAATCTGAAGTCATTTGGTAGGAAAATCTGGCCTTTTCTAGTATATTGGGAAATATAGCCCCTGACTGGGCAGCCCTTCCCAGTGGCAATTCTATGCTGTGGAAGGAGGGAGTATTTATTTTTAGGGGATGACTTTAAAGAAATTGGAAGTTTTTTTAAGGAGGCAGTTGTAGTCACCCAGGTGAGAACTACTGCTGTGGCAGTGGTGGGGATCAGATGACTTTGAGAGCTACTGAGTAGAAAGACTCCGGAGAGATTGTCATGACTGACTAGGTTTGGGTGTCGCAGGTGCTTCCCATGTTTGAGTTAGTTGAGTGTGGTAGAATCTCGGAGCTGTGGAAGCACACTGACTGGGTTCACACTGGCTGTGTGGCCTTGAGCAAGTGACTGTTGTGAGGAGAAAATCAAGTAAGCCAAAGAAAATGTTTATCATAGTACCAGGTACATAATAAGGGCTCAATAAATACTAGCTATTAGTATTACCACTTTGAAATTGAAGTTTGTCTGCCTTGAAGAACTGATGGTCATTATCAGCTGACATTTATGTAAGTGGTTAGTGCCATTTGGCTCTTCGCTTCATGTTTTAAAAAATTTATATCTTTATTTTATATACTTACGTTGTAAGCATTTTCAAAACATTTTTAGAAGCAGGTGGAGTATAAATTATAGGTTCCAAATATAGACATTATAGCACCTCATGTAGTCTGAAGGATATACAGCAACAAATCTTCATCAAAGTAACATACCAAGTTCATTAGCATTATTTACGTATTCTAGCCTTAAAAAGAAATGTAGTGAGTTGAAATCAAACTTGGACATTTTTCTCCTTCTAATTTTGTTATACAGTTCAGAAAGAAATGACAGAAGACTACATACATGATGTGATTGCCTTAGTAACCTATTTGCTGCTATAATGTATTAAAAGTTGCACAAAAAGGCACTATATTAGATTAAAAGTCTGCCTACTTCTAGTTTCAACACATAAATTCCAAGGAGTGAAATACACGGAGGAGAAACCTATATGATTAAGAGAGACTTAAAAACATAACCTATCACAATGTGTGGACTCTGTTTGATTACTGATTTTTAAAGAGTGTTTACAATTTATGACATTTGTGAGACAACTGGAAATTTGAATAATGCCTGGCTATTTGAGAATATTAAGAATTTTGTTAGATGTGTAAATTGTATCATGATAACAGTATTGTGGTAACATAAAAAAGAAAAAGGAGTCCCCTCTTCAACAAATGGTGTTGGGAAGACTGAATAACCATATGCAGAAAAAGAAAACTGGACGCGTCTAACACCATTCACAAAAATTAACTCGAAATGGATGAAAGACTTAAACATAAGACCTGATACTGTGAAATTCCTAGAAGAAAACACAGGGAAGAAGCTCCTTGACATTGGTCTTGTCGGTGATTTTTGGATATGACCCCAAAAGCACAAACAACAAAAGCAAATATCAACAAGTGAGACTAAATTAAACTTAAAAACTTCTGCACAGCAAAAGAAACAGTCAGCAAAATGAAAAGGCAGTCTATGGAATGGGAAAAAATATTTGCAAATCATATATATGATAAAGGGCTAATATCCAAAATAAATGAAGAACCCATATAACTCAATGACAAAAAACCAATTTGATTAAAAATGGGTAGAGGAACTAAATAGATATTTTTCCTAAGAAGACATCCAAATGGCAACACGTACATGAAAAGATGCTCTATATCACAAATCATCAGGGGAATGAAAATTAACACCACAATGAGATATCAAGTTCACCTGTTAGAACAGCTGTCATGGGTGGACCTTGAGGACATTGTGATAAGTGAAATAAGTCAAAGAGAGAAAGACAAATACTGTGTGATATCACTTACATGTGGAATCTAAAAAAGCCAAACTCCTAAAAACAGAGTAGAATGGTGGTTACCAGAGGCTGGGGGATGCGGGATAGGATGTTGTTTAAGGGTACAAACTTGCAACTAGTAGATAACTAAGTCCTGGAGATCTAATGCACAGTTATTCCCACTGCAAAATAGCCATGATCATTATGTGATGTGATGGAACTATTAGCTAGCACTGTAGTGGCAATCATACTGCAGTATAAAGGTACCAAACCAACATATTGCACACCTTAAACTTACAAAATTTTATGTCAGTTATAGCTCAACAAAAAAGAGAAAAGGGGGTCCTTATCTTTTAGAGATGCACACGGAAACATTCAGTAATGAAATGTGATTGCTGTGATTTACTTCAGAATAATACAGGAAGAGGGGACCTAGGTGGGATCATGGTGAAATAAGACCAGCCATAAAACTGAATAGTTGAAGTTGGTGATGAGTTCATTATACTTTTCTGTCTACTTTTATTATATGTATGAAATTCTCAGTGACAGAGTTTTTAAAAGACTTTTAAAATACACACACACACACACACACACACACACACACACACACACACAATCCTACTAAATCCTAGGGTTGATGTACAGTGATGGAGCACTGGAACATTCATCATCTAAGCCATAATACCATTTTTACTTCTTTTGGCTTCTTTTATTGTCATAACTAACCTGCATTATTTCTGAAAAGTGGATTGATCTTGATTTTTCATTTTTCACATTGTTTAGATGAAAGCCTGTTTATCCAAAATACTGCCCTTATGTTAGGAATGAGCATTTATGCTTCCTAATTGGAGGACTATATTAATCCAAGTGTTTGTTTTTTAAAATCTATTTTTTCCTTCTTTTAGCTGGCCTTTCTTCCTGCATCATGTTGTTCCATTTTGAGGGTTTTCAACTCCGTCTATAAATTAAGAGTCACCTGAGGAGCTCTTTTGGAAAATGCGTAGATCCAGTCTCTGGACATTTTTATTCAGTCATCCCGAGTAGAGCACTTTTGTATATATTTATTTAATTGTTTATTGTCTTTTGTTTCCTGTAAGCAAGGCCTATATTCCCAGTGCCTTGTACAGTACTTCAAATATAGGTATTTAATCATTGTTACATGACTATTTCCATTTGTGACATATTTTAATTTCATATCACAAAGAAGTGGAACTATTCTTTTACAGAAAAACCAAGAGAGTATTTAATATCTATATTGGAACGGCTGAGAATTGCCAAAGTATCAGGCGTGGCTTTCCCTTTCTTTATGGATAACTCTAACATTGCAGCCATGTTTCAGATGCTGGACTCCTCGAATAAAGGATCCATATCATTTATACAGTATAAAGAAGGTCAGTATCTTCTACAAATTGAGGTAATGATTTGTGGTCATTCCATAAATTTCCCTAGCTGAAACTAATTCTCACTTTGTAAATTTTCCTTTCTTCTTATTCTCATAGCCCTAAAAACCCTGGGTCTGTGTACTGCAGATGAAGTTTTAAAAGATGATGGACTTGGAATAACTTGTGAAAAATTCATGCGTGAAGTGTAAGTTTATTTTTAAGTGACTAATATTTAAATAACGTGGCATGATTTTGAAGTACAATTAATACATTTTAAAACAAAGGTTCCTACCTTCTGATAGAAACATTTCATTCCCCTGAAACTTTCAGCTGACTAGAAAGTGAGGACAGGCAGGGCTGACAGTACGCTCTAAGCCTGGGGGGAGGGGAGGGAGAGGATGCTGGGGTTAGGAGGATCCGGAGGCAGCTTCCTTCTTTTCTCAATGGGAAACCCCAGCAATTCTCAAAGAATGAGGTAGAGAAGCCCCGATCTGCTAGAAGAACTAACAGAAAAACTTTAAGCTCAATATACTAGTTGGAAAATCTCTGTATATAGAGTAATAAAATTTCTTGCAAAATACTTCCTAAAAATGATTTTGTAAACGTTTATCAATAGTACAGACTGCATGCCAGCCTGACAATTTCGGGTTTGAGGTATTACAGCATGAAAAGTACTAACTAAATGCTAAGTCAGAAAAAAAACCAAAACAACCGACGGAATAAAACTTGATAGTTCTGGAAGCCTCTAGCTAATCTAGCTCAGTTTGTTTAAAAGTTTTATTTAACATAATCCAAGACCAAGGAGAAGTTAGAAGAAAAAAGAAAGTTTAAGATTCTCATCTCATCATTAGTTACATAAATATTCAACAAAAAATGTTTAATTACATTACCTACCCCAGAGAATGACGGTAGCACAGTGCTGTAGCTGAAATGTTTCATCCACAAAGCAAAGGTTGCCCACTGTTACATGGAATGGAACTAGGAAGTATTCTGAATGGAAAGACATTTGTAGAAAATGAGAGCAATCCTATTTCAGTCACTATCTTATAATATGTTTTCTTACGGGAAATATAGTGAATTTCCAAACTAGATACAGAAACTTCAATTATAAACATTTTATTTTATTTTTTAACATCTTTACTGGAGTATAATTGGTTTACAATGGTGTGTTAGTTTCTGCTGTATAACAAAGTGAATCAGCTATACGTGTATATATATATATATATATATATCCCCCATCCCCTCCCTCTTGCGTCTCCCTCCCACCCTCCCTATCCCACCCCTCTAGGTGGTCACAAAGCACCAAGCTGATCTCGCTGTGCCATGCAGCTGCTTCCTAGTAGCTATTTTACATTTGGTCATGTATATATGTCCATGCCACTCTCTCACTTTGTCCCAGCTTACACTTCCCCCTCCCCATGTCCTCAAGTCCATTCTCTACGTCTGAGTCTTTATTTCTGTCCTGTCCCTAGGTTCTTCAGAACCTTTTTTTTAGATTTCATATATGTGTGTTAGCATACGGTATTTGTTTTTCTCTTTCTGACTTACTCCACTCTGTGTGACAGACGCTAGGTCCGTCCACCTGACTACAAATAACTCAAATTTCGTTTCTTTTTATGGCTGAGTAATATTCCATTGTATATATGTGCCACATCTTCTTTATCCATTCATGTATCGATGGCCACTTAGGTTGCTTCCGTGTCCTGGCTATTGTAAATAGAGCTGCAATGAACATTGTGGTACATGACTCTTTTTGAATTATGGTTTTCTCAGGGTATATGCCCAGTAGTGGGAATGCTGGGTCATATGGTAGTTCTATTTTTAGTTTTTTAAGGAACCTCCATACTGTTCTCCATAGTGGCTGTATCAATTTACATTCCCACCAACAGGGCAAGAGGGTTCTCTTTTCTCCACACCCTCTCCAGCATTTATTGTTTGTAGATTTTTTGATGATGGCCATTCTGACTGGTGTGAGGTGATACCTCGTTGTAGTTTTTTTTTTTTTTTTTAATTTTTTTTTTTGCGGTACCTGGGCCTCTCACTGTTGTGGGCTCTCCCGTTGCGGAGCACAGGCTCTGGACGCGCAGGCTCAGCGGCCATGGCTCACGGACCCAGTCACTCCGCGGCATGTGGGATCTTCCCGGACTGGGGCACAAACCTGTGTCCCCTGCATTGGCAGGTGGACTCTCAACCACTGCGCCACCAGGGAAGCCCCTCATTGTAGTTTTGATTTGCATTTCTCTAATGATTAGTGATGCTGAGCATCCTTTCATGTGTTTGTTGGCAATCTGTATATCTTCTTTGGAGAAATGTCTGTTTCGGTCTTCTGCCCATTTTTTGATTGGGTTGTTTGTTTCTTTGATATTGAGCTGCATGAGCTGCTTGTATATTCTGGAGATTAGTCCTTTGTCTGTTGCTTCATTTGCAAATATTTTCTCCCATTCTGAGGGTTGTCTTTTTGCCTTGTTTATGGTTTCCTTTGCTGTGTAAAAGCTTTTAAGTTTCATTAGGTCCCATTTGTTTATTTTTGTTTTTATTTCCCTTTCTCTAGGAGGTGGGTCAAAAAGGATCTTGCTGTGATTTATGTCATAGAGTTAAACATACATTTTAAAGTGATTTTTTAAAGTTTATTTGTTATGTTAGATTATCTCCAACAGTCTCCCTGAATTGGCAAAGAAAATTAAAAATTGATTATAATTTATTATCTCTGCTCTTGTATTTTATTCAACAGACATATTCATCATTTATATTTGTAAATGCAATTACTCTGAGTTTTCATGGCTTCTGAGCTTTTTGTTTTTGTTTTCTTAGGAACAAGAGGACTCAAGAAATATGGTCAGCATTTTAATAACACTGTAAGTCCGAGATAATAAATGATTCTACACAGTTTTCAGTTGTTCAGTTTCATTAATTCAGAACTTCATCATATAACTTGAAATCCAACTGGCTCTGGCTTTTTCTTTATTAAAAAAAAAAAACAAAAAACCCCAAAAGGAAAAAAGACACTTTATTTTCCAGTGTTAGGCCAGTTTGTCCTTAAATTAAGTAGAATCTCAACATCTTGTTGAGCCAGTTTATAAATTCCGACTTCATTTAATGCCGCTGTGGCAGGAGGTTGCCCTGAAGTTGACTGCAGGACATCTCTCAGAAGTAGGGCACAACCAGTGTTCAAATTCAAAACAATACAAGCTTCTTTTACACTGTTTAAAAAAAAAAAAAAAAAGCTGGAGGTAAATGAGATCTCCATTATCTATATCATCCCATATTACCCTGTAACAATTTCATTTTGAAAAACTATACAACTACCCTGCACTGCTAGATCATATCATTTATAGTTTATAAAAACTATTTATAGATTAGCTATTTGGCTCTTTTAATGTGTTTTGACAGAGTTTATATTTCATTAGATTACTATAAGGTAATAGGATCATTGTTTTCAGTACGTATCCATTATTTCCCAAAATGTGATACTTGATAGTAACAGTCTATTAAATGTAGCTAAGACTTTAGGTACATTAGGATACAGGAAGAGAGAAAATTAAGGGACAAAATAAAAGCAGAAAGGTAGAATACTAAAAAAAAAGCAGAAATAGATACCTTACTGAAATGAGCAAAAAAACTTTCATTTTATATGTTTAAAAGGAATACTTTATAATCTCAAAAACCTAAATAATTTAAATTTTACATCAACAATTTCTAAAAATACTTGTAAGAATTCTCTTACATCCATTGATAATTATACTTAGAACCAAAATTAATAACAAATGTTTAAGAAAACAAATTTTCTTCAGGCCTGGCCTGTTATTCAGTACTAAATATATTTCACATTTCTTCTATTTATTGAATATGGCAGAACTGCATTTGCTTTCATTTTCTATTTATTTCCCAGTAATAAGCACATAGGAGCATTACACCAAATATTAGAAAACAAAGCCCAACATACCATTTGTATCCAGTTCCGGTCAAGTTTTTGGGGTCATGGGTCACATCTTGTATTACTGGTACATAATGAATACTTTAAACTGTTAACTGATGCAATATATATTTAACATCACTAGAACCCTAAAGCTGTTAAAAAACGAATCAACTTCCGCTAACAATTTGATACATCGAAATTAATTGTTAAATATTGCACTTACTGTTTAAAATAATTTTCTGGCCTCTTGCAATAGTGGGAAAACAAAGGGAAAAGATTCCGAGTCATATCGAAGTGCAGCTGAGCTGCTCCTCCTTCATTGAAGTGATTGGCAAGAATTATCTGAAAAAAAGGACAATTCATATAGCAGTTGCCTCTTATCGTCACAGCCCAACATACAGCCTACCCTTACTCACTTCTTGGTAGATGTATATGTCCAGCTTCTCTACAAGCATTTGCCAGAAGATTTTAAATAAGGAGAAGCAGAGCTGCTGCTCCAATTGCAGTAAACGGTCTCGTAAAGTAAGCAGTAAGGGGCAAGCCGAACTGGACAGGGACATCACTGCCTGCTCTGACTGCGATGGCAAGGACAACCACCTGGAAAAAAACAGAAACAGCACTGCCTGAAGCACATTAATGTTTATTATGAAATTTTTCATCTCTCTGTATTTTTAAAGATTTAACAAATCATTTTAAATGTGGGAAGTGCACTGTCCTGGGGCATTTTGGATAAGAAAAAATGTACAGCCCAACATTAAAAGCTCTCTCAGAAAATAAGTGTACTTATGTTTGTTTGCTTATTTATTTAATTTTATTTTTTGGCCATGCCACACAGCTTGTGGGATCTTAGTTCCCTGACCAGGGACTGAACCCAGGCCCTGGCAGTGAAAGTGCTTAGTCCTAACCACTGGACCGTCAGGGAATTCCCTGTACCTATGTCTATATTTTAGTTCTCAGTAAAATACTCTTTACTTAATGAGGATGATAAATTTTTTAAATCCCCAATTTTAATATGACTTACTGATATGAGTTAAAATGTAAAATGCATTTACATTTAATACATCAGCTAATTTTACACTCTAATTTTCAGCAAAACACCAGGGACTTAACACTTCCAAACTGATAACAAGTCCTCTGTGTGACAGGACTGCTAGGACAGACACTGCCTGCGCTCAAGGAGCTCACCGTCTGGGAGGTAACAGATGTCACAGGAATCACGAGAGTGGACTAAACTATAGCACAGGCATGCACAGGTACTACAGCAGCACCTTGCTTTGTCAATGGGTGACAGGCTAGGCATTCAACCCCATGTCAGACACCAGCTCGCTGGAATTACAGACACATCTGAAGGTTAAGTTATGATCAGTTTATTCTGATTAAGAATGAATATATTTTAGAAACAGTTAAAAGTCTGGAGTGCAAAAGGCCAAGCTCTGTGCTATCTAGACACTTTGGAAATCTGACTGCATGTCACCTTTTAACTTCTATCAAACTGGAGTTGAGAGTTGACTTATAAGAAAGTACAGAGGACTTACCTTTCTTTTTTATACAATTTTGCAGCATCTTTAACTTCTCTAAAAACATGGTCTACTTGCCGGGTCAGCATGTCATGCTTTAAACGCTCTAACAGGTTAATCATGTCATCAAAGACAGAGCTCTCCATAGAGGCCAGTTGCCCCAGCTGCAATTTACTGAGAGTGTTATTCTCTGCAAAGACTTCCAATGCTGCCTGTTGAAGTTGTAGAAAGAACTGAAAGCAAAAATATGTTAACATGTTTAAGATACTTTTTTTTTTTTAACAGCTTGAGATGTAACTCATGTACCGTACAATTCACCCATTTAAAGTATACAGTTTGGGGACTTCCCTGGTGGAGCAGTGGATGAGAATCCACCTGCCAACGCAGGGGACACAGGTTCGAGCCCTGGTCCAGGAAGATCCCACATTACCACAGAGCAACTAAGCCCGTGCACCACAACTACTGAGCCTGAGCTCTAGAGCCCATGAGCCACAACTGCTGAGCCCACGTGCCACAACTACTGAAGCTGACGTGCCTAGAGCTCATGCTCTGCAACAACAGAAGCAACCGCAGTGGGAAGCCCCCATTCACCACAACTAGAGAGAGCCCGTGTACAGCAGTGAAGACCCAACACAGCCATAAATAAATAAATAAAATTTAAAAAATAAAGTATACAGTTCAGTGGCTTTTAGTACATTCAGAGTTGTGCATCTGTCACCACAATTTTGGAACGTTTTCATTACCCCACAAAGAAATCCCACACTCTCTGCCATCATCCCCCAACCCCCTCCTAGTGGTTCCCCACCCCACCCCCACCTTGTTCCTGGGCAACCACGAATCTCCTTTCTGTCTCTAGACATGCCTGTTCTGGACACTTCATATAAATGGATTCATACAACCTATGGTTCATTGTGACTAGCTTCTTTCACTTAGTATAATGTTTTCAAGGTTCAACGATGTTGTAATATATATCAGTATTTCATTTCTTTTTATTGCCAAATGATATTCCATTATATTTACCCATTCATTAGTTGACGGACATTTGGGTTGTTTACACTTTTATGAATAATACTGCTATGAACATTTGTGTACAGTTTCTGCACAAACATGTTTTCATTTCTCTTGGATATATACCTAGGAGTAGAATTGCAGGATCATATAGTAAATCTATGTTTAACCTTTTGAGGAACTGTCAGACTATTTCCACAGCAACTGTACCATTTTACATTCCCATCAGCGGTGAGTGAGGGTTCAGATTTCTCCACGTCATGCTAATAAATGTTACTGTGTCTTTTATTATAGCCATTCTAGTTTGTATGAAGTGGCATCCCATTGCGGTTTTGATTTGCATTCCCCTAATGGCTACCTTCTTTAAGTGCTCATGTTTTTCTAGACACAGATTGAGAGCTGTAGTAAACCTAGAAGATATATGAGTTAAGAGAATTAAAATGTCATTTTTTTACAGTATTATTTTAGGTAGAATTAGTATTATTCTTTCTGCCCTACAGGAAAACAGTGCTGTGGGTAATTAGCAAAACGTTAAAAACAACCACCTAAATGTCTATTAATAGGAGACTGGGCATGGCTACTAGGGATTGTTCAGGGATGACATGTGAGAGGCCATCTTGGCATTTCTGCTGAAGCTGGCAGGGAAGTGGCAGTGTCCTTTTGAGCCTGCTCATGGACCATGGAAGCCTGGAGCCACCCATGGTAATACTTACCAGAGCTGGCCTACGAGTGAAGCCAGGAATGAACAACTTTAGAGCAGCCATGCCTAATCCTTTCAGTTACACAAATTCCTCACCTCCTCACACCACCCCACTCCCCTACTTAGGCCAGTGTGAATCTGGGTTTCTGTCACCTATGACTGAAACATTCCTAATTCTGAATGGCTGGGTTATGTCAGGCTTAGCACAGTCTAGCAATGGACAGACATCTGTTAGTGGAGAATCTAAATGAATGGAAGGTAAACTCTACTTTTTTCTGTGTAATACAAGAGCTTGCATGATTTTTATTTAGAGTATTCACAGGCTGAAGGACTGTGAATGTGATTAAGTGATTTTTAAATTATTTTTGTCTGTGTTGGGTCTTCGTTGCTGTGTGCGGCCTTTCTCTAGTTGTGGTGAGCGGGGTCTACTCTTCATTGCGTGCGCGGGCTTCTCATAGTCGTGGCTTCTCTTGTTGTGGAGCATGGGCTCTAGGCGCACAGGCTTCAGTAGCTGTGGCACGTGGGATCAGTAGTTGTGGCTTGAGGGCTCTAGAGCTCAGTCTCAGTAGTTGTGGCGTACAGGCTTAGTTGCTCCGCGGCATGTGGGATCTTCCCAAACCAGGGATCGAACCCGTGTCCCCTGCATTGGCAGGCGGATTTTTAACCACTGTGCCACCAGGGAAGCCCTAAATGATTTTTGATGTTAA